CATATTGAAAGTTCAGCTAGTGAGAAATAACCATCTGGTGAGCACGTACATCTCTGCTCCTGGATAAGCCGAGGATGAATTGCCTAATGGGAGCCAGCCCTCTGCCTGAGAGCGAGTAGTTACCAGGGTAAAGAGAATTACGTAAGAGCGAGATCTGCACTAACACATCGCTAACTAGATGTAATCTTTGGACTCAGGCTGAGGCAATTCTGCTGCAGCACAAAAACACTCCACGCCAGCGTAAAATAATTTGGTATTTGTCTTTTTGCTTACCTGAAGCACAATTTTGCTTCACTGGGTCCCCCAGCTATTGTAGGCAACATCTAGAAATACGCTACTGTGAAATGTTTCGACGCTTTCTTTCTAATTATAGCTTTTGGTATCATTCACTCGGTTATAAGCGGGGTGAATCAGAACAGAAACATCAGGGAGGATCGAGGGAAGAAACCTTTTACTAACAGTGAGCATCAGGACAGAAGAAATAGGGCGTCTCGTAAGGCAGTGTGGTGCAAAGTGCTCTTGTTTAATAGGAGATAGTGGCAATTTGCAGTTCTGGGTTATTCTGAAAAAATCCTAAATTTACAAATTCTTTGCAGAAAAGGAAGGGAACTTCCCAGCCATCTGCCTCGCTGGCTGCCAGCAAGGCTCGCACCTCGGAGGCACAAAGGGTTCCTGCTTCAGGCAGTCTGTGCTACTGGCTGCTGCACAAGCGCTGGTGGTGCAGCTCCAGGCTGACAAGGGGAGGAACCAGGTGGGTTTCCGAGCTGGGTTCCACCGATATTTCTGCAAAATTGCATGACTTGTGTGCGCCTTTCGGATTTCATCGAATCTGTGAGTTCTGACAAGGAAATTTACTATCAGTTCTTTCCCGAGCAGCTCTTTCTTGTTCTAGAGGAACCGGAAGGAAAGGAAGGAGATCGGAGAAACCTAGGATGGCTGAGCAAGGTGGGGAGAAAGCAGCGGGCGTTAGAGGAACGGGGATTTACGATGTTTGAGAAGTGGGGGAAAAAAGAAAGCTGGAAGACGTATGTGTGCAAATTATATTTTTAGATGTGAATGAAGGTGCATAGTTTTGCTATGGGTTTATTCTGAGTTACAGAGGGCAGTTGCATACCCAGCTAGTGAAGGCACATAATCTCCAAGGCATGAGTGAATTCAGCTCCGCAAAGTTCCCAAAATAACATATTAAGCTGTCAAACGAGTATGACTGTTCAAATTCCTTACTAGGGAGTTAAAATTTGTCCTTAAACTGGTGGAATAAAATTAAAATTTGGGGTGGAATATAGGAAATTAGTACTTGCATACAACTTCTGCTACCTCTGACAAAAATAGAATTATCTTTCCGACATTTAAAAGAGAAAAAGATGATCAAATACCAAATCTGTTGAGAACTGGGTTATCAAGTCATGTAGATTTTGATTTGTCTCCAAATTAGAAGTCTGAAAGCTAGTATTGGGTAAAATGTACGTGTAAATATCAATGTTCTAAACTGCTGAAAGGTCATTCCTATTGTATTTTATTGTTTAAGTCTAGAACAAATGGCAAACTCCTGCAAGGTAAACCTGGCGAGAGATGCCAGCAGTTTTCTGAGATAAAGCCAAAGACATGGCTTTAGGAATAACATCGCCAACTTTAAAAATGTCCCGTAATTTGGAGAGACAGCCAGGATTCGCTTTTGAAACTAACAGCTCAGGTAACCACTTCCAAATTCAATTTTACCACGTGTTTGCCTTCATATACTGTACAGGTACCCGTTTCATTACTTGGAATGCTTCTGTTCTGCTGAACAACTATGCAGATATGAAAATCACCTGTCTCTAGAATTCTTTGACTATCCTTTTTTTTTAGTTGGCCATTACTTTTTCTTACCTATGAAAGAAAACTCTTTGAAGAGATACGAGTCTAGCTTCATTAAAGCTCTTTTCTATGTTGTAAAAGTACATTACATGCTCCTGATGTGCTCCAGTGCACTGTGTTCTGTTTAAAATGTTTCCATGATTATCAAATGGTTTTCTGACAGGTTGGGGAAATATTCTGGAAGAATTTGAAGTGATGTTTTCCCCCAAATTATATATTCCTTTTATTTTCATACCTTTTTTTGCAGTCTAATCTATAACAATTATTTCTGGAAATTTCCCATTGTTGTACGGTTGTGGCACATTTAGCATTTACCCCGCTACTTGTTCACTTACATGACAGCTCTTCCATCATCTTGCCTTGATGCCAAGAGCAAAGGACACATTTTCTGAATTATTTCTAAGCACAGAGATGGCACGATTCCTTAAGATAAGGAATATTTCTTTTACATGACTTACCCAAGTTCACCTGGATCTTATATGTGGGTGTGTGAAAGCAAATACAGTTGTCCCCATCTTTTCTATAGCTAAATACACATAATTGTTGGTATGTTTCCCAAAACGCAGACAAGGGCCCAACTTGTTCAGTGGAGTCAGAAAGAAAATTTAGCAAATAACTAGTCTGGGAGAGACAAATCACATTACCCTCCCCACCAACAGTTTTTGATGTTTTTAGGGAACTAATTTAATTGCAAATGGAGACAAATTTCTATTTCAGTCTCCATAAGTAATTACATTTTACTTGTCCTGACTCCAGTTCTGGTTGTTTGTCTGCTGGACAAAGGGATTTTCTCTAGCGCAAGGCATCACTGCTCTGCTTGAACATCTCGGGTGCTTTTCTTTTATGTTGATTGAGCGAGAAGGGACGGATCCAGCTGGTCAGAAGCGGACGAGCTTCCCAATGCAACCCCTAGCCGGAGACATTAGCTAACAGAGTCCCCTCTATCGCCTCGGCTGGGAACAGGGAATGAAACCATGGAAATAAAAAGTGCTAGAACATCTGAGAAAGCCTGAAATAAAAAGTAGGAACTTTTTATTGTCAGGTATCAAATGATGTAAGACCCATGAGGGAAGAGCGAGGATGTGGACAAATACGCTTTTTCTGTCAGTGAGCCTACAAGAGCAGCTTAAGGAAGATGCAGACTCACAATTTTTGAGTAGAAAGCAAAAAAAATGATTGCATAGCCAGCACGAGAACTGAACCTAAGGGCTGGCGGCGCAGTTGTTGCCCGGCCTGTTCCCCCCCAGAAGAGGAATGGGCTTTGCACTGCATGACCGCTACTTGGCTGAAGAGTCCTTCGGGCCAGGGTGAACATCCCGAACTCCAACCCCACACACTCAGCGCGCTGACTTAGGGACGTCTGGAATCGAGACGTAGAGGAAATCTTGATAGTTTCTTTCTTAGCAGCGCTCAGGGAAGTATTTTGCTATGGAAGAGCTGAAGTAATTGCTGAGAATCTACCAAAGGCTGGGGCTGTACAGCCTGGGCATGAGACTCTCCATCGCGATTTTTATCATTTGCCGGGGATGTTTCCCGCCAGGACACTGGAAGGATCAGTTGCCACAGAAGTGGTCTTTTCGATGGCTGCTGCCTGGCCACGAGCCATCGCAAGGGGTTTCTATGAGGGATTACGTCCGTAGGAAAGTTTATGTCGATATACCACCTGCGACCGTGGGTGTCGAGCCAAGCGGACGGTCTCGTTTCCACTTCTGATGCAGTCTGCGCATTACTCCCCGACGCTGTTGACCGAGGTGGTTCCCTGCACAGGTTTGCCTCAGGGAGGGCCCTGGCAGGGGCG